TCTGAGCTTCCCGCAGGGAGAGGCTGCTCCGCCTCCCATGGGTCGATAAGTGAGCCCAGAATGCCCCAATCCCTCCCTCCCCCACTGCCTCTTAATAAAAGCTGGTTCTGCTGCCTCTAAGCTGGCTCTCCCAGCATCAGCTCCTGTCTGCCCCCTCCCCCTCTTTTCACTGCCTCAGTAGCATCAGCAAGGAGGGGAGGCAGGCAGGTCTGCAGAGCTGGCACATGCAGAGAGCCAAAAGCCGACTCCCTGCATGTATCAGCTTCATCCTGCCCCCTTCACCCTCCTTACTGCTGCCATTCTATTAAAAGAAGTAGCATGGAGGTAGGGAGGAGGCAGGTGGATCTGGTGCTGGTGGGGAACCTGCTTAAAGCTCCTCATTGGCACCAGCTCCTGCTCTCCACTTGCTGCCTCATATAGAGGCAGAAAGCAGGCAGGAGTGTGTGTAGTCAATAAGATTAACTGATAAGCCAAGGCTTATCGGTTAATCATGTAATGGACTACATATTGACATCCCTAGCTAGAGTGCACTGTTCCAAGCACCGTCACTGGTGGCAAGAAGGAACAGAAGGAGAGGATGTGGGGGCACTCCCTATAGCATGGCATGTGTGTGCCACTTTGGGGGGTGCTTCCCTTACATATACTGCTGAGGGAAAAAATCTTCTGGCACTGCTGCATGTGGCAAACACATTCCCATGTTGAATGGATGTGAGCAAGCACTCCAAGAAGCAGAGCTGATTACTTAGCATGTGTATAATGCTTCTATATTTACAGCACTATGCAAGTATGACTACTATTACCACATGCTCATAGGCGAATGGAATAGAACAGCGGTTCCCAATCTTTTCCAGATGGGGACCTATTTTGACAATGGAGGAAGACTTGGTGACCCAAGGCAATTAAAAAACGGGGGGAAGAGGAGAGGGCAGAGCCATCTGGGGAGACACTTGGCGACTCTTTTGAAATGCAATGGCAACCCATATTTGGGTCCGAATAGAAGAGGCTAGTTAGTGTTGAAAAAGTGACATTCAGATTTTTAAGGTGAGAAATTGTACTTTTGAAATGGCCTGTCTGGCTCCTTTCTTCAGAAGGGCCTATCATACTGCAGGTCCATTACAGGGAGTAGTATCCTAGACCCAGACCCTGATATGCAAAAATAATCATAGATAAAGGTGACCAGCAATTCAGTGACGAAACAGTTTATCATTAAGCTGCAGTGTTTAAATGTTCAATTCCTGCACGCTAAAGGTTCAGCACATTCCTGAATCCCACAAACATCAATAGAAATTAAGATGTGCTGTAGTGAACTGTGACTTAAATTGTCCAATCAGAAAGCTCTCCAGTAAAGCAAACCTTGTGCTACTCATAGGGAGGCAGAAGGAGGTGTTTGTGCCAGTACAGGGTGGCTCATTAATCCTTTTTATAAAAAAATCGAGTGTGGGATACTCCAACTCTTAGGCCCTCTTTGCAACAAGGAAACTGGCATGTTTTGACATTCCATATAAAATATGGCAACACTAGCAAGCCAAAAATAACCACTTTTCTTGCTGGTGTGGAGAAAGTTCAGTACACTTACCAGCAATTGCAGCAAAGCTTATTTGAAGATTTCTGAAGCACTTTATTTTTAACTAGAAGATGTATCTGCTGTTGCTTGGTTCCTTAAATCAATTGTTGTTTTATGGAAAATGAAAATGTACATGCTTCATTTAAATCATTGCTTTGAGGTGGAGCTGGAGATGAAGGGTTCAGTATATAGGCTACCCCAGACATCTAGGACTACCCCAGCTGTCTGTCACCGCAGAAGCTTGGGGCCAGGTGAGAAGCACCTTCCATGGCTGCTGCAGCTCCAGCAGGCACAGCTATGGGAAGGGCACATATTCCCCCTGCTGGGGCAAGTCCAGGTTCATCTGCCCCCTGCCCTCCCCATGGGCATCTGGAAGGTGGGAGGTGAGGAATGTACCAAATGCTGCACTTTCCCTCACTCCTTACTGAAGGCATCAGCCAGTAATGTTCCCATACAAATCTGGGTTTCAGGTCCCTCTTCCCGGCATGGGCGTCTGGAAGGTGGGAGGTGCCCCCAGTCAGCTCCCTTCACCTGCCTGGCGATTGCATTTCATAATACTATACAAAAAAGGGAAATTCATTCCAGGTACATCCCATTTTCTGGGCACAACCAAATCCTTACTTCACTTTATGTTTTAAGACGAAGCTCTATCTCAAATTTGATGGTCCTAGCTCTTACCATTTAGGAGGAGTTCTTGAATAGAGATACACACAAACTCTCTCAGAAATATAGCAGATAATGTTGAACTCCAAGTGTGTCCACATGCACAGAACACTGTTCTCATCCTTTTTGGTGGTGAATGAAAGAGGATTCACCATGTTTTCTATCTTATTTCAAAACATGGTTGTTTCTGCAATGTACACATGCTTTCACTGACTATGCATTAGTTCATGGAATACTATGTTAAATTTAACTTACCCATGTTTTAATCTACAAATATAGACTTGGCTGCAATCAGTGCAAGTAGTAGGATTATACAAATTTTACACACATCTGTCGAACTCCAGTAACTGCACATTTCTGAAAAGTAGACTCCTAAGTATTTTTAGAGATAGAGATCAAATGACTAGGAAAACTTTCATACCCTATCTTGCTGAATCAGGTCCACCATCTTCAAAATATAGACTTCCACAGTTGGTAATATATATGCTGCGGCCATTTTCAAAGCATCTGCCAAAGAAGAAGGGGTATCTTGTGTAAGGATGTATTTCACCAGTCTCTGAAACAAGAACACAGACATGGATATTAAATTTTGCTGGAAACATTTAGAAGCAGAACTGCCAGTCTTTCCTCCTGATTCTTTCCCCAATGCAAGAGCCTTTCTTTGTAGCAGCGAAAAGTTCTGGCAGCAGGGAGGTGGCAGTTCACAATACTGATAACAATAGTGCAGATTTAGGAGACACTCCTTGAGTATGTAGAGAGCTATGCTAATGAATGCAACTGTTTTCTAGTTCATGCCTAGGAATTAAGGATTAGCTTTATACACATTTTACCTACTATTAAGCCAAGGAAGTTCTGCTGTGTCCACAGCTTGCTTCTGTAATAGAAGAAAATTGGGGCTGATCCTGTTTTATCTCAGACCTGCTTAAATTTTGTCAGGGAAAGTCTAAGTCACAAGACCCTTGGAATTTCTTATGAAAGAATTTGAGCATACTGCACGCAGGCAAGCCTATTGCACTATAACTTTTTTAATTGATTTTAGTATGGATTTTTACAAGTCAGCGGCCTCACTATCTCTGCTATGAAACTAACGTAAGAATTGTATTCATAATGATCTTTAACTATAGCAATTCTTACTAATACATTTTAGATTTAGTTAATAAGGATTGACTGTAAGCATGTACATGGGTAAGATCTGAAATATTCACTGATCAGGTGGGCAATATATTCAACCTCTTGGGATTGGTCAAACTTAAATAGATGGTGAATAAGGTTCAATAACCGTCATTATATTAGACTGACTATCTGGGAAGAACTCAAATGCTGGACTGCTTAAAGCCATGGTGGGCCACTTCAAGCCCTGGGGCCAGATACAGCTCACCAAACATTTCGGCTCACTAAAGTCTTCTATCCAGTCCATCCAGCTGATTAGCAGAAGTGCATACTTACAGCTGGCAGAGTGTATTCAGCTGCCCCATCCCAACCTTGCATAGTCCTGCAACCAAGCTGCTTCCAGGATTCTCCTGCTAATTGTACAGGAGGTGGAGGGAAGAGCTGGACTTAAGGTGCCCCGCTGTCCAGGGTTACCTTTAAGATTTTCCAACCATGAGTGGACCTTGCCCTCCTGCGCCCCCCCTCCCCCCGCCATGCAGCAGCTCCTGTTCTCAGCCCCACCTGCCCTTGTCACATAGCAGTCCCAGCCACCAGATCAGGGCGCCTCCCCCCACCAAGCAGCCAGTCCCAGCTCCCTGCTCCAGCAGCTCCCTCACCACACTGTCTCAGCTGGCCCCACCCGCCAGAGAAGCCACCTGCCAAGCAAGTGCTGCTGTGCGGCTCTCCAGGAGGTGAGCAGAGAAAGAAACTGTTGTGCGCAGATGAGCATTTTAGCATGAACTATACCCCTGTCCCTCTACTGCATCTCTGTACAGCAAGGATAGTAGCCAGCTCCCTGCTCCAGCAGCTCCCTCACCACACTGTCTCAGCTGGCCCCACCCGCCAGAGAAGCCACCTGCCAAGCAAGTGCTGCTGTGCGGCTCTCCAGGAGGTGAGCAGAGAAAGAAACTGTTGTGCGCAGATGAGCATTTTAGCATGAACTATACCCCTGTCCCTCTACTGCATCTCTGTACAGCAAGGATAGTAGAGGAAGAGAGTCAGTCAGCAGAGCTGCCCCACTCTGACACATGCAACTCAGAATGCAGAAGGGATTGGGGGAGAGACAACACAGAAGGACAGCTTGTCTTTAGAGACAGCATGGCTGCTCTAAAACTTAGCCAGCCAACACTCTGTGTCACTGTCTCACACCCCCTCCAATCACTACTGCATGTTCTTCTGTTTCTGTGCCACATACTCTGCATCAAACTCTCTCACACACACTGTCTTTCACTTACACACACACTTTCTCTCCCTGAAGCCCCAGTCCTACCCCTTCTGCCTGAATCCCTGTCCCTTCTGGGTGACCCAGAGCTGGTCCACGACAATGTACCAAAATTTGTGAAGAGACCCCAATGCAAAAATTGTTGCCCACCCCTGACTTAAAGGGAAATGCATTTTGATGTCTTGGTAACGAGTAAGACATTAGAGAAGTTATTTTGTTACTGACTTGGTGAAATCTAATGCTAAATTAAACCACCAGTTTTGAGATGGTCTTTTCTATTCTTTGGAGTTTACACTGAATGAGCACTCCCAGCATAGCCCCTCCAGAGATCATAGTTGCAGGGGTGTTCAGTGTCTGTATTCTACACATAGCCATAATTGTAGTCAGAACCCAAGGGACATGAAAAATACCAGAGAGATCATCTCTAAAATGATCAAACTGCCATTGATTTATTGGGAGGTCAGGGGAACCTGACTAAGACTGCTTTTCAAATACTTTGCAGAGATCTGTATTGAAAAGAATTTTTCTTTACCAAGTTTCTCATTAAGAAAAAGGACAGTGCATCAAACCAGAAGTAACTGCAAAACTCTATGGTTACATCTACACTGGCCAGTCTTGCACAAGAACATATGCAAATGAGGCACAGCGATGAATATCACTGTGCATCACTTGCATACTTAATGAGCCACCATTTTGTGCAAGGGGCTTTTGCTCCTTCTTGCGCCAAAATCCCCTCTTGCGCAAGAGCTGTTCTGTTTGAAAATAAGCTGGGCGTTTTGCGCAAGAAGGAGCAGTGTAGACTGCTCCTTCTTGCAAAAAAGCCCCTTGCGTAAAATGGCAGCTTATTAAGTATGCAAATGAAGTGTGGCGATAATCATTGCCACACCTCATTTGCATATGTTCTTGAGCAAGACTGGCCAGTGTAGACGTAGCCTATATGTATTAAAAATGCAGAACTACATGTTCTTTCTTTTGCAATCATCTGAATCATATCATTTGTATTCAGTTTCTTTATATAGCATTATCATGTGGTAGCATTAACTATGGAAAGAAGAAGAGGTTACTTACCTCGTAACTGTAGTTCTTCGAGATGTGTTGCTCATGTCCATTCTGATTAGGTGTACGCGCGCCGCGTGCACGGATTCCGGAGCTTTTTTCCCTTAGCAGTATCCATAGGGCCAGCAGGGAGCCCCCTGGAGTGGCGCCGGTATACCGGTGCATATATACCCCTGCTGGCCCTCCCACCCCTCAGTTCCTTCTTGCCGGCTCCTTCCGACACGGGGAGGTGGGTGGGATGCAGAATGGACATGAGCAACACCTCGAAGAACTACAGTTACGAGGTAAGTAACCTCTTCTTCTTCGAGTGCTTGCTCATGTCCATTCTGATTAGGTGAGTCCCTAGCCATGTCACCCCTCCGGAGGCGGGGTCGGAAGGTGACTAAGTATTATTTTATTATTCTGCAGAACACAGAACTGCCCCAGGATGCTGCTCTGCAGATTTCCAAGATCGGCACGCAGGCCAGGAACGCCGCCGACGTTGCCTGGGCTCTAGTGGAATGTGCTGTTATGCGCGGCGGTGGTCTACCTGCGCCCTCGTAGCACAGTCGAATGCAGGAAGTAATCCACGGGGATATACGCTGCGTTGAGACTGGCTGACCATACATCCTTTCCGCCACTGAAATAAACAATTGATTTGACTTACGAAACTCTCGTGTCCTATCTATATAAAAAGCCAACGCCCTCCTAACGTCCAGGCAGTGCAGAGCCTGTTCCCTGGGCGACGCGTGT